CCTCTGGTGTTTACTGGATTAGGATCCGATTTGCTGCTCAACTTTTATTCATGATTGAATCATGAATTGGATAATCGGGACTGTTTTTATCGAACCGACTTTAGTAATGATGATCGAGGCTAGGCCGAAAATTCAATCGCTAAATTCTCGGTTCAGAGTGGATTAATTTGACTGAAATTTTCAGCAAATTCCTTTTACATTATCTAGTTGTTAACTTTTATAGTGAGAACTGCCAGCCAGCTCTTTATCTAATCCCCCATAATGTTTCTTTAATACCCAAGGTTCCCATGTGGTCACCCATCACACTACTGATCGGATTCGACGTTGATTAGACGATAACTGGTGATAGGCTGATAGCCCGGTTCTTACCTGGATATTTCTAAAAATAAATAAATAAAGGTGATATTAAACCTGAGAAAAAAAGTTGCTCAAAAACACGACAGGCCATTCACTTTTACCACCAAAATCTCACCAAAACAATTGCGGTTACCGATGTCACCTTTACACATTAGCCTTGCCGTAAAGGAATATCCGATCGTTAGAGAAAACGCCGCTTGTCCGCTGTCAAGGCAAAATTACTGACACTTTTAAAATACCTCTCAACAAAAGCGTTTTATATCTGAGGCGCTGGAGGCGCTGGAGGCGCGAGCCTCCTCGCGAAAAAAATCAAAGAAGTTGAAAAAATAGAACGGGAGAAAAATGCTAAAACCGATGAGAAAAATGAAAATGTACCCTAGTTAGGGAGGGCCCTAAAGGCAGACAAAAGCGCCCCTCTGGCCAAGGCCCCCGAGTCCGAGTCAATCGTTTTCTATACACTGTTACTGTCGAATCCACTACTGAATGGGAATGCAGTAATTGCATTGGCATGAAAATCATCAATCAAGAAATCACCTTTTCTGAAAACCTAAGCTATTCAGGAAAGAGATGGTTAGGCCGCCCAGTGTGGCCTGGCTTGGCGGAGCGATAATGCGTATCGTGTAACTGGAAGATGTAACGTCCTTGAACTTTCTTCAAATATTATTTGAAATCCACCACATTCCATTAATTATTATTTGATTGACCTCCCGATACGAACAAGTGATTTGTTTCGCATTCAGGCTTCAGACGAGAATCGAATTAGGCCCCGACCCTCATATTAAACCGGCCTGGAGGATGTGTCAGAATGCACCAAAATGTGGACGTTAAACCCCATTTCTCTCTCTCTCTCTCTCTCTCTTGACTATGGGATGGCGCAAATGTAAACGAATTAATATACGAACGCCATTTAATGATTTAATTTAAAAATGGAGAAGCAAGGCTGAGTCTCGATTAACAAGTAACAATGCTACGATAATAAGACAATCTATTTCAAAACTTCAAACTTGAATGTCATGAAATTTTAACTTAATATATTTTACTTAATTAATATGCCGAAGTTTTAACTCAACGTATATAACTTAATGCGACATTAGGTAAGATTAGATAAAGAGCTGACAGTTCTCACTATAATAGTTTAAAAATAGATAATGTAAAGGGAATATGTTGAAAATTTCAGTCAAATTACTGCACTCTGATTATCTATTTTTACCGTAAATGCACCAATCGCAAAATGTATGTAAATCTACTTTATATCGGAGGCATCTAGAGTTGGTAAGTTAATTAATCTCTAATTAATATTTAGGGCCTGTAATAAGCAGATTTATCTCTTTTATAATGCCTGGTTAATACGCTGAGATTCTAACTTAATATCAGTATGATGAAATTTTAACTTAAGGTATTTTGCTTAATACGTTGATGCAGGACGGAGGGGCTGACAAGGAAAGCTGTCTAGTCGTTCGGATGGGACGAAAAACCGAGGTCCCGTGTACACATTGGCGTGCACGTAAAAGATCCCTTGGCAGTTGGAATTCGATATAAGAGTAGGCCGTAGTGCCGCTGTCCGGGCAAAATTTCCCTCATAGCACACTGTATGGCGTATGCCCGTCTTCATTAGACCAGGTTAGGAGCAGAACAGTAGGACGTTAAACCCCATTTCATTTCATTTCTTAATAAGTTGAAATGTTTACAGCATATCTTGAAATATAAAATTAATAACTATGAAATCCAGAGACGAATGGAACAAGTCACCCCTCTCTGTCAACAACTGGCCCATTTTAAAAATGGACTAAAATGTTTTGGATAAGATAAAGTTTTGCCGCGCTGTCTCTCGAGTAGGTTGACCGGTATCATTGTCTTCGTAAAACTATCCTACCTTGTATTGTCTAGTGGCAACCATAGTGGAGCCATGATGGCTCAGTGGGTAGGACGTTGACTCGCTAACCTGGATGTTCGGGATTTCACGGCATGGTTCCTCCTGGGCCTAGCAAGGGACAGCGTAGAGTCGTTTGGATGATACGAAAAACCGAGGTCCTCTATACACATTGGTCTCTTGGCAGTTGGAATTCGATATAAGAGTAGGCCTTGGCGACACTTTCCGGGCACTTTTCGCTCATAGCACAGTGTATGGCGTACGCTCGTCTGCATTAACCCAGTCGGGGCTGAACAGTAGGATGTTAAACCCCATTTCTTTTCATCTCGTATTACCATAGAAATTATATAACAATTTCATGTTTTCTGGATACGGCATTTGCACTGAGAGGAGAATATTTGAAATAAATGTAATGATTTAAATATATTAACAAATTAAAATTATTTATATTATGAATTTTAAAGCTTATATAATCTTAATCAAAATTATATTGTAGTATTGTGAATATTTTTTTGATAGTTGAATTTACAAATGGATTTACCATGATTAGATTTCAAAGTGCGTTAATGACAATTATTTATTTGTGTAAATATATACGTATTTTATACTTTGTATCTATGGATCATTCGACCTAGTTACTGATTATTTAATTATGAAAGATAAACAGATGGCAGTTGTTACGATACTAAAATAAGTCTCGATTATCCACTTTTACGGTTAATCATCATGGGCCGTTGAAGCGGGGATAAGATTCAAATCTGTGGAAAATCGGTGCAATCCAACACAGGAATCTGACCTTCTATCCGTATATATATGCATACACCATGTTTTTTATATATTGTCTGGTACGACATGGTGTATGCATATATATACGGATAGAAGGTCAGATTCCTGTGAATCCAATGGCATCGAGAGTTGATTATGGTCTTGTCATGTTAATAAATGTCTAATTAATTTATATAACATGCCTAAAGAAAGATCTGCAATAGGCAGAAGAATTCATAATTAATACTACGTGTATACGGCACATTAAATTAGCCAAATATTTATAACTGTAGTGATGGTATTCGAGTTTAAACGCCGAAGAATATCCCGGCGCCAAAGACCACCACAACAGGCGCGAGCCCCCTCTTGTCCAGGCTCAATTTAGGCGGTCCGAAATGGTCGCAAATTGTATCTACAGCGTCTTATTATTTTTTTCAATTTTTAGGGTGAGGCCACCCACACCCTCTGTCGCAGGCTTAATACCTTCGACTTCGGCGAATCGTGACTACGGTACTTTAATTTTAAGATATGAGATATCGTGATACCCCCCTGCTGACATAGGCATAGGGGGCCAATCTCAATTTTTTTTTGATGTGGGGGGGGGGGGGCTGAGGCTATTTGTCACCCGAATTTTCAGAATGAATCAAACATGAACTACATGTAAAACAAATTTTCCACAAAGTTAAGTTGTGATGGTAGCTTTTTTTAATTAATTACACAGCAATGTAAATTTACAATATGCGTTAAGCCCAAAATAACTTAATGTTCCCCATTCTTTGATGTTTGTGCCCTAAAAATGGACGGTTTCCAGATATCCTGCTATCAGAGATTTGTCACGAAAAAGTATACATTTCAACAACTTAAATCTGTAACTATGGGTCTGGTTGATTTGTTTTAAGCCCATATATATATCCTGTCAATCCCCTTATCTCATCAATTGGCGGTTTTTGGGTGGTTTTTTTCAGAAACGACTTGGAATAATTAGAAAGTTTGTTATATAGGTAGGTGGCTGTTTTTCCATGGGTATGTGTTATAGTTTATTGCCCTATCCAGTTACTAAATGCCTTTTAAGGATTATTTCAAAACATTGTTCGATAATTGATAAAAATCATTTTTTGAAAAATTTTCACAAGTTGTTTTCCTTTATTTTGTTAATGTAGAATGGTAATGAACTACTCTTTTCATTTTCTTTGTTTTCTTTGTTTCGTTTGAATTTGATTTATCTGTTTAGTTTTTGATTGTTTAATTTTTGTTAATGAAGTTGATTCTTTTAAACTTCGTTTTTTATTTTTGAACTCTACTTGGTGTAGGTGTTCATCAGGTAATACCTCGACTGAGTTCAATATAGAGATTAGCCGGTTGATTTATTGGATATAAACCTTTGAATAATAGCGCCTAACAGGCAGCTGTGTTTAATTGTGTTTAATTGTGTTTAATTATGTTCTCCTGATTTTGATTGTTTCTGTGTGTTTGAAGTAAATGTTTGTGATATGTGCTTAGAAACACTTCATGTGTAATGAAGCGCTATATAAATCGAACAATAATAATAATAATAATATAAGAAATGGTCCATGCTGAAGGTGTGTGTGTGTGGGGGGGGGGGATTTTTTTTCAATAATGATCGAAATCGATTAATCTTAACACTAGAAATACAAAAAAAAAAAAAAAAAAAAAAAAAAAAAATGTATATATATATATACCCCTTTTTCTTTACGAGGTGAATATGCTTCTAAAAAAAAATGAAAAACTAAAAAAAGAACTTTAATTGCACCCGGCTTAAATATTTCAATGTTGATATCTATGTCTATCTTTGAAGAAAACCAAATTCACAGGCTATACCAGCTATTAAATGTGTCGATCTTAAGATGAAGTAGATTGTTGGGTTGAATGTGGGCCAGAAGCTAACTATATTTGACATTGTTTCAAATTGTTTATTGTTTACATGCTTCGTTTACAAGTTGATCACACGAGTTCAATGGATGTGTTGTAATTTGACGCATGCGCAGAGGGACAAAGTGGGACTTAGACGCACACGGCGATAGTTCTTCACTCCGCCATTTCTAGTCGGAATTTCATTTCAGAATAATTTCTCAAATGGAAGGACAAAACAGCGATCGCTCTGGTTCACCCGCAAAGGTTGGTAAAAATTATCTTTAGAAACTTTTGACGCCTTTAGTTTGGGCCTGCCGTGCCCATATCTATCTCCTCAGAGATGAAAATTGTACACCAGACAAAGCCCTCTCTGGCGACTAAGTCAAGATGGCCGCAAAAATTTTCTAAGTCGAACGCGAAATTGCTGAACACAGCATTTTTGGATTCGTTTTTCTTCGCCCTGGCTGAATTTAAACTATTGTTACCACAAGTACTGAATACCTGTGTTATATGGTTTTTATTTTTGATTTTAGATTGCGGATGAAGGCATTGGATCGGGAGATACCGGTAAGTAAAATCGAGCCGAGAGAGCATTTCAAATCGTGGACTTGTAAAAAAATATGGATGTGAAATTTTTTGAGTAGGATTGTACATTTTGTGTATGTTATGGTCCATATACGCCCGTTCGTTGTTGTTCATTTTGGGATCTAGCTAGGGTATATGTTATTTGTTTTTTTAATCGATAAACTTGTACTTGAAAAGTGTTATTTGTGGTTCTATGTGAAAAATAAGCTTGTTGTTTCTTCTCTGTGTATCTAGCGATTGGCCGCATGGTGGCGCTACTGGGAATATGTAACCCTTAATAAAGGACGTTTGGTTGTTAAATTCCCACGTGTTTTTCACGTTAACACCGTAATTTAAACGTCGAATTGAATGGAAATTAATAAACCTTTAAGCTGTCTTCATTCGAACCGATTCTAAGTTTTTTTATGTCCCATTTTTAGCAATAACATTTGAGTAGTTTGTCTGTATAAAGCTGGAATTCTTATCGGTGTATCGTCATGTTAAAGCGCGCACATTTGTACTTGGGTATTTGACCTCGAATGATTTGCATATTTAAATTCATAGGTCGATGACATGACGATAGAGTTTATTCCTCTGTATGGCATTGCAATCATAATTTTTAACGGATGAAGGGCTATTAAAATCAGTGTTATTTTTGATACAATGAATTAAACTTTGAATTGATTTTTTTAAATAAATTTATTGATGTAACTATCAAATAGTATCTAATGATTAAAATAGAATCAGGGTAGGCCATATCATACATTTTAGTACATATTATATATAGGCTATCCGGCCTTCAGAATAACTGAATGAGTGAAAAGGGAATTTCAGAATGAAGTAGGAATTTAATTTTTTATTTTTGAGTGGTGATCCCTTTACCACTGTGCATGTAACTTCGACAAGGGGTTCTGTTAAGGTGTCCGAATGTGCGTGTGATCTGCTTCGTGTGATCTGCGCTTTACATCAAAAGGTCTGTCACTGATTGAGTCAAGTGCCATGATTTTGATCTCACACTGGTACAGTGACTAACTTTGTGTGTATTTTCTTCGGGTCTTCGATCAGCTTTCTCATCCCTAAGCACAATTATATTATTGATAGAATAGTACTGTATAATAATCCTTATGACATGTAGAAATAGATTTCACAAATTATAACACTTATATGGGTATACTACTTCTGAATTTATCAACATGCTTCGTTTTGATACACGTACAGCTTCCCTTAAGGCCTACTCTTTTATAGAATTCCCACTGCCATGGAATAATTTACGTACACCCCAATGTGTTTACAGAACCTTGGTTTTTTGTACGATCCGAATGACCATGCTGTCCCCTTGTCAGGCATATACGTCCCGCACCACCAACAACTGGGAACCGCACCGAAAAATCTTTGTCCAACACAAAAAATCTGTTGAGTACCTGGCACCGAGTTGTCTTTTTTTTCTGTAATTTTATTGATAACATTACTACATGTTTCAAGACATGTTTCAGGTAGTACTTCAATGGTGGTGTGAACATTGACAGATGGAATTCGAAATAAGAATAGCACCGCTGTCCAGGCAAAATTTCCCTCATAGCACACTGCCCAGTCAGAGCAGAAAAGTAGGACGTTAAACCCTTTTCATTTCATTTATGTATACCATAACCAATGGTTCTGTCTATAAGTATATTTATTGTTTGGTATATTAAAACAATAAGGTAACAATATCATGAATAATCAATGAATAGACTTTTGTATTATAAAGAAAAAACATCTGTTTCAAATGATTTCAAGAGTCCATGCTTTTTTCCCCTGACTTGAATATTTTATTTTTCACCATGTGTGACAAATTAGTGAAGGCTAGATCAACCAGTACTAGGTCACCCTACTAAAATCTTAAAATTTAATATTAAATATAAGGTATGGTATCCATTACAGTCATTTATTTAAATTTGTTTTCGCTATTTAAAATGTTTCGAGTATAAACTCAGTTAAATGTACACATTATTTTAAATTGTAAATTGATTTAGATTTCATTTCGTATTCAGAAAATATGTTTTTATATGCAAACATTGAAATACTGTTGAATATATTGTTGGTCCGTCGTCCACACTTTCAGATGTATGTACGTTCTAGGTAGTTAAGCATGTTTTTTTCAAAATTTCCCTCGCAAAATCATTATTCATGAATTGGGGGGGGGGGGGGCGAGGAATTCATCCTTTGTCTCAAAATGTGCAATTATTAAAGATGAATTTTGTGAGATTTAGATACACAGCTTGCTATAATAGTTCAAAAACAGACAAAGAAAAAATTAATGTATTAAAAATTTCATTGATATTACTTTATTCCGAACGATGTTACATGCATGGGTGTTGAAAGAAGTAGTGCTGGGCCCTGTTTTACGAAATTGTAACCAAGATAAAATCCAAATTTTAGTAATTTTATTGGATAATATTGGGTTGATTAACCCAACCCTAACCCAAAATTGAAGTATCTACTAAAATTTGGATTTTATCTTTAGTTAAGATTTCATGAAACCGAGCCCAGATTGTTTGTTATTGTGTCAACAGAACCGGTAGTAGAAGTCGTAGTAGATCAATTTCAAGTTGCGTAAAAATACAGACATTTGCCCCCTACATCTGTGTGACTTCGAGCCTCTCAAAATACTCAATAGAAGGAAGTAAAAATGGTTTTTGAACAACCGTATTTTAAGCATTCTTCTGTTATTGATACTGTATTGTCTAATGAAGACTGGAAGTTGACGGCAGTCATTTCAATCTTTCACTTCGACAGGAAATAAAGAGAAAACTATCACTACGACAGCCAATATTTGATTGGCTGAATAGTTTATCGTTTTCTAGCCAATCCAAAGTCTTGTATAAAATGTGCTTTATTGCTTCCAGTAGGGTAAAATAGGGGGTGTCTCTGAATACCTACGTATAGAAGGCTTACTGCCATGAACTTAAAGATTATGAATGAAATAAGAGGAAATAAAAAAATGCCACGTGAAGCACATAATTGATGACATAGTGTAGGCTACAAACTATGACAGAATAATCAAAGTATCCTGACATCGGGTAAATTACGCAGCATCCGTCAATATTTGCGTTTATTTTGAAAAAAATTAAAACACAGATTTCTGCGTGACTGCAAATCTCTACTCGGTAGTCTCGTATTTCCAGTTTATTGTTGAATTTTTATATGTTACAGGGGTCCTAATTTATTTAAATATCTGCCATAGAATGGTATAGAGAGTTGGTTATTAGCTTGTCATGTTAATAAATGTATAATAATACAGTAAATTTCGCATAAGTTGGATCTAAATGGACTGACCAATTTTATCCGAGTTAATTAAGCGAAGATCCGAGTTTATTTCTAATCTTAGCTCGATTAGAAATAAACTGCAAGAGCCGGACATAGGCGTAGGAGCTCAAAGTAATTCAGGGGGGCATAAGAGAAAATTGCCCGAAATCAATACCGTTTTTTCAGGCATACATATCATAAGAGAGCTTCGGGCATATTTTCGGGCATGTAGTGGACAAGAAAAAGACGAGAAAATACTTTTCGGGCAGTGTGGATCTCATAGAAATAAATTAGTTATATTTTTTCTCTAAACGTTAATAGAAAAAAAGGGTCGTCGAATTTTTCATTGCTCGAAAATAAATTTTTGGGGGGCATCTGCCCCCCCCCCCCCCGGCTCCTACGCCTATGGAGCCGGATAATAATTGATTCAATGCACATTTCAAGCTTTTGTTCGTAGATAACTTCCGTTTTGTTGCCATCTTTGAAAAATGTCCTAAATTTTCCCGGAAAGTGTCTCGTACAGCAGACAGCGAGTTTTGAATTTTCCGGGAAAATTCTATTATTGCGTCGCGTCAAATAGTCTGATTTGAGTCAAAATGATAGGAGAAAGTATTTTGGGGCTCTGTGCAGGGAATAGCTAACTATGTTTTAGACCATCGAGATGAAACTGACTTGGTCAAATTCTGAACATACTGCCGATCCGACTTAGGTGAAGGAAAAAAGTCTGAATTAGATCAAATTTATCGGAGTTGACCGAAGATCCGACTTATGCAACGTTTACTGTAGTTTATATAACATGCCTAAAGAAAGATCTGCAATAGACAGATTTAGCTCTTACATAATGCTTCTTCAATATTTCACATTGAGGTGGCAGAAATCAGCCTCGATGTTGGCTTATTGTTAATCCATGTGTTTACATCGCTCCAGATTGTCAGTTCGTTTCGATGTTGATACTCAAATAAAAACATAAAATGTAAATCATATGAAGAGTCCAGGGGAAAACGATCCAAGTCACATGTTTGTCTTTTCGCATAAAAGGCAAAACAGACTTTTGGACGAGAATCCTTGACGCGAACAGAACAAAGTGTGGGTTTAATTACAACTTCGAAATAATGTTTAATACGAATCATAATTACCAGTACAATAACTGGCTTCCACTTTTCAGCCAAATTAAGGTCAAATAAAGGGTACGATGGACGTATTTGTCCGGGAGGCCATTTCAAAAGGGCCTTGGTTCGATGTGACTGCGAGCGTTTTTACCTGAAATTGATTGTTCCACAGAAAGCTTATACAATTTGCTACCAGATGGCACCATTAACTGGGGTCCGTTGAAAAAGTGACTTAGATCGTTCTTCCACAGGGCTCTTCATATCTAATTATTTTAAATTTGATTGAATATTTCCTAAATCGAGTTAACATAGATCTACGTACATGGTAACAAATGTTTGTATTTTATGATAATTACTGATTTCAGGGGATCTCAAGTCAAAAATTCAAGAAAATAAGTTAACGAACGGTTCAAATAAACCAGCCAATGGCGTGGCTAATCATGTAGAGGGCTCATCGTCACGTCGGGACAAGGAGAATAACTCCAGTTCTAAACATTCTTCATCCTCCAGCTCAAAACATAAAGATGGTAGTTCTCATAAACCTCGTGATGGTCACAGTAGCAGTAGTAAAGATGGCCACCGTTCCTCTAGCTCAAAACACAGTTCTTCAAGTTCCAAACACAGAGACAGCAGTAGTCATTCCAAGGATAAACACAGCTCTAGTGATAAGCACAGCTCTAGCGATAAACACAGCTCTAGCAATAAACACAGCTCTAGTTCTTCAAGTCATAAACACAGCTCATCAAGTTCCAGCGACAAACACAAACATAGTTCGTCTAGTGACAGACACAAGGACAGGTCGAAAGACGGCAGCAGTAAAAGCTCTGATAAACATAAAGACAAATCCTCCTCATCCTCATCTAAAGACAAACATCGTGACGATAAACATCGTAGCGATAAGGATAAAGACCGCCACAAGGAAAGCTCAAGTAAAGATAAATCGCGTTCAGATAGCGACCGGGAGAAAAATAAAATAAAAGAAGAAAAGAAAGATGGAACGCCCATTAAGATAAAGGAAGAAAGACGTGATCATTCACCCATGAAAGTCAAAGAAGAGAAACGTGATCATTCACCCGTGAAGATCAAAGAAGAAAAGCGTGATAAATCCCCCACTAAATTATCCTCTCCTAAAATAGCATCCCCCTTGTCCTCACCTAGAATGACGTCCCCTAAATCTGATTCGGAGAGACCAAAAAAGGTGAAACGTGAAATGTCTGATGATGAAGATGATGTACCACTGGTAAGATTCACAATTCTCAAATATTTTTCCTGATTTGGTAAATAAGCAGCCCCCATAGTTTCAGAATTCAGTGTGAATGAATTACAATTTGTTATTTATATAACGTATAGTTCTGTTTGTAAGTTTGGTCAGAGATAAGTCGACGGATTATAGGGGTTGTTCGATGGACGATTTGTTTAAGGTATGTACATTAGGTCTGTCATTGAGTCATCAGGTAACATGGTTTAATTACCTGATTATACCTGACAAGGTGTTGGGTGGGTTCTTTGTTTACCTCCCAGTATTTATTAAAATAAATATGAAGCATGTGTTTGTTTGTAATGATCTGTATTTTATTCCAGTCATCCAGGGTGAAAACAGAAACACCAAAACGTAAACTAGAAGAATCAAGTGATGATGAACCTCTGTCAGCCAGGTAAAATTCATACATTATCCCCCCCTCCACATCTATGCTGTCAGGCAGGTAAAATTGATATGCTTCCCCCACCTTTGACATGTCGTTTGCCCGTCAGAGGTGCAGGTTGGAGAATCTGAAAAACCGAGGTAACATGCTTGTAAAGACTCCATGGCAGTTGGAATTTGATTAAAAGTAGGCTGTAGTGTTGCAGTCTAAAAAAAATTTCACTCATAGCACAGGTACATGGCACACAGTCCAGAAAAAAATTCAGTCATAGCGTGGGGGGTTGGATGGCTGAATGGTTAGCGTGCGCGCGCTGTATCATAAAATCTGTCATTGAGTCGACTGGCGTGGTTTCGAATCCCCGCTTGTACGTGACAAGGAGTAGGGTCACCTGTCCAACCTCGTGGGTTTCCTCCGGGTCCTCCGGTTTCCTCCCACTGCTAAAGACCCCTACGCGCAAGCGAATTGTTGAAATAAAATTAAACCATATGTTAGTCCCGAAATGACATAGTTTGTGTCGAGTGGACGTTAAACCCCATTTCTCTCTCTCAGTCATAGCGTACTATGGGGTATGTCTGTTGTTATTTATTCTATATCCATCAACTGATTATATTTTTATTTTTATTTTTATTTTTTTTAGAATGGATAAAGTGAAGAAAGTTAAGAAAGAAGATAAACCTAGTAAAAAAAGGAAAACTGATGACGATGATTTTAAACCTGATAAAGTTAAAAAATCAAAAAAAGATAAGAAAGCTAACAGGACAAACACCACCACCACCACGCAATCTCCTAAAAAGAAAGCTAAAAAAGAAGTGGAAGAACAGGCCGTTTGGAAATGGTGAGTACGATAGAATGTGAGCCACGGTGGCTCAGTCAGTAATTGCTAATCTGAAGGTCTTGTGTTCGATCTTCCTTGTCAGTGGTGCAGGACGGAGGGCCTGACAAGGATAGGACAAAAAAAAAACCAAGGTCCTGTGTACACATTGACTTGCACATAAAAGATTCCTTGGTAGTTGGAATTTGATATAAGAGTTAAGGTTGTAACGATACGGAAAAAAAGTATCGCGATATATCATGATATTGTTAAAATAAATTATCGCAATATCATGGATTATCGTCTGGGGTAAATGATAATGGTTCAAAAATTCATTATCGTGTTAATTACTGATGTAAAATTGGATTAATGTATCTTAGTATGTTTGCTATTTAGAAATGTATGTGAGTTGTATTGATAAAGTGAGAGATATATCCTAGAGTAAGAATATTCATGCATTTATCGTGACTGCAATTCATTCTAATTCTATTCTAATCAGCTGGATTAGTACGCAAATGATAACAATAATACCATATGAAATGATGAGTTTGACGTATTTCCGCCAGTTGTTTTAATTTCTTTCTAACACACTTTACTCTTGGTCACGTCCTTGTCATTTGTTTTATTCCAAACCAAAATGTTCCAACACCACAGAAGATGTGTTCTTTTTCGTTGTCAGCAGTTGCAGTGTTGAACTATCACCGGGAACATTGGCATTTTCTATCTCGAATGCATCAGAAGCCATTTTATTTAAAGAATAAAGGAAATATTATCCAGGTGGCTTTTCTATGTACATTATCAATGTAATTTTCAACGGACTGGGTAATCAATGATAAACCACCACTTCGTTGCTATGGCGATGTATATTGTCGCGTGGGGGGTATATGGGACCAGCTATATCAAGCCGTAGCCTACACATGTATAATTATGATTAATACTTAATTATTATTCAGTGAAATATAGCCGACTTGAAACATGAGGCGGCCTATTGTCAGTCAGTGACAGTCTGTTGTGCAAAATGGACAAGATCTCGTTCGTATATATCGGCGCTTGTTGAAATTTGATTTCTTCTCCATTTTTCGAGTATTTTGAACTGATTTTACGTGAATTATGATATAAAATTAAAAAATTTATTTTAAAAAATTATCGCGATATTTTAAAAAATTATCGCAATATTTTAAAAAATTATCGCGATATTTTTTAAAATTATCGCGATATATCCTGATAAGGCAACATTTCTGATCTAATTATCGTGATATATCGCCATCCCCGGGGTATCACTGCAACCTTAATAAGAGTAGGCCGTAGCGCAGATATACAGGAAAAATTTTCCCTTATAGCACACTGTATGGCGTATGCTTGTCTTCATTAGCCCAGGAACTGAACAATAGGACGTTAAACCCCATTTCATTTGAGAAATAAAATACAGTCTCGAGAGTCGTGAGTTTTATTTACAGGAACTCGATAGGAAAAGTCCAGTTCTCTGGTCCCAGAAAAAGTTGTATTTTAGTTGCGGATAGTCATTTACATTATTTCGGACAGTATCAAATTTTGTGGGCAATAAAATAAAAGTTGAATTGATGAAAGGGATATCAGATCGTAAAATGGTTATATACTGGTTAGTATTGATATCATAAACATCTGTTATATTGTTTATAATCTTCTAGGTTTAGACCCTTTTATTACTCCCATTTAATCAAAACCAGGGGATTATCTATATTTTATATTTTAGTTTTATTTCATTGATTGAGTGTGAGAAGATTTTGGCTAGGATTAAAAATTTAAATCTTGTCCGTAAAATTGAAATGTTGATATTTTTAGGTGGGAAGAGGAGAAGAAAGATGATGGAGTTAAATGGAAAACTTTACAACATCAAGGTCCGGTTTTTGCCCCAGATTACGAACCTCTTCCATCGAGCGTCAAGTTTTATTATGATGGTATGTAAGGATTATATTCTGTGAAAGCTCTTCAACACAACTATGGTTATATTGAGACTAACATGTGGTTATATTGAGACTAACATGTGGTTATATAGAGACTAACATGTGGTTATATAGAGACTAACATGTGGTTATATAGAGACTAACATGTGGTTATATAGAGACTAACATGTGGTTATATTGAGACTAACATGTGGTTATATGGAGACTAACATGTGGTTATATGGAGACTAACATGTGGTTATATGGAGACTGACATGTGGTTATATGGAGACTGACATGTGGTTATATTGAGACTGACATGTGGTTATATTGAGACTGACATGTGGTTATATTGAGACTAACATGTGGTTATATTGAGACTAACATGTGGTTATATTGAGACTAACATGTGGTTATATTGAGACTAACATGTGGTTATTGTATTGTAGGTAAAGTGATGAAATTAACGCAAGACACAGAAGAAGTTGCAACGTTTTATGGTAAAATGTTAGATCACGATTATACATCAAAAGAAGTTTTTAATACAAACTTCTTCCGAGACTGGAGAAAGGTTATGACGAAAGAGGAACGAGAGAAGATAACAGATTTAAAAAAATGTAATTTTAATGAAATAAACGATTATTTTAAAGTGAAAACAGAAGAAAGAAAAGCAATGACCAAAGAACAAAAATTGGTGAGTTTAAATTTATAATTTGATGACCACTATATTTTACACAGGCTGGGCTAATGAAGACGGACATACACCATACAATGTGCTATTGGGGAAATGTTTCCCGGACAGCGGCGCTTCATCCTACTCTTTTATCGAATTCCAAGGGTTATTTTACATGAACTCCAACTTGATTATCCTAGCCAGGGCAGAACAGTAGGGTATTAAACCCTCCATTCATTTCATTTCATTTTTACTTGTCCAACCTTATAGGTCTCTATGTACATTCAAATTATTGAAATAAAATTCACCATATGTTATTCCCGAAATGATTTTGATAAACTCCATTTCTCTATCTGTCTCTTTCAGGAAAATAAACTTGCCAATGAAAAGATAACGAAGGAATATGGATTCTGTATGATTGACGGACATAAAGAAAAGATTGGTAATTTCCGTATTGAACCTCCAGGTTTATTCCGTGGACGGGGAGAACATCCTAAACAAGGCATGTTAAAGAGAAGAGTTTTATCCGAAGATATTATTATTAATTGTGGAAAGTAAGTTTGAGAATTATATGATTGAAATGGATGATATGGATTATTGTCTTTTTTTTATTAAGACAGAACATCAAATAATCACCGTGTAAATTAACGACTTGAGATAGACTTTATTATTGGTAATTATCAATCAATTAAAACCATTAATCAAAGGCATTACTAATTGATTAATTGTTTAAATCCAAGGTAATGGTCAATATGGGATAAATACTTTTAGAATTTTAACATTTTTTTCTGCTACTTCTCAGATTGCAACTTGCTCAACTGAGCATCTCCTTTAAAGCAGAAATTGCAAATTTTCTAAGAAAGTCAAAACGTAATTATTTCTATGTATTTTGCTCAATAGGTTGTCAACTCACTATTATACGATCATAGGTGTCATTCTCACACTTACAACTCATTTACACAGGAAATAATAACACAATTACCTCCCAATTACTTCACTTGTTTTCTATTCTCCACCATGGAGTAGCTTTTTTCAAACGTTTGAAAATGAAGAGGAAAATGATATTTTTGCCAACTTCTCAGCTGGTAATAGTGAATTATAGAATTAATAGGATTATTCTTTAACAAGGTAGGACTGTTTATGGATACCATCTATTTTCAGGCTTTATTTTAATAAATTTTAAAAATAAAACTTAAAAATTTGCAATTTCCGCTTTAAATGAAATTTTACATTTGGATGTCAACCAGCAAACGGCAATGTGTCTTTATTTAAGGAAACGAGATCGAATAGGTCTACTACTATTCAATCTCACGTCTTCTACCAAGGCTGGCTTAAGACTACTGTGTGACTTCTCTGGTTTATGCCTGTCTTCATTTGGTGCAACAAGTTAGGTAGTTAAACCCTGTTTCATTTCTTAATACTTTTATTCATTTGATTTCCAGAGATTCTGCTATTCCAGTTCCACCTCCAGGTCACAAGTGGAAGGAAGTCCGACACGATAATCAGGTTAGTCTTGACAAGTGTCCATGACAACAATTTCATTCTAATTGTCCATGACAACAGTTTTTATTAGAATTGTCCACGACAACCACTTCCTTGAATATTACTTGTTGTGAGAATTTTTTCTGTGTTTTTATTTTAGGTAACATGGTTAGCTAGCTGGAATGAAAATATCCAGGGACAAACCAAGTATATCATGTTAAACGCTGCCTCCAAGTTAAAGGTAAGAATTACAATATAGATTAGTAACTAATACACCAGTTGAAAAAAGATTTTACTCAAAATTTAAAGTAACTAAATCTCTAACTCAGTATCATCCCAAATCTTCGACATTGAAAACACAAATTATTTGTCAATCAACATTGATGTTGTGATCTTACCGAGAAAAGATTGCCTTCTGATATCCAATATTTAAGACAAAATAAACATTTTACAATTGGTACACGAATCATGTACCATTATGCTTTTCAGCGCTATTTGTAATAAGGTACTTGAAAAACTAGGCTAGGTATATTCCACAAGTCATGTCAAACGGTGACGCTATATACTTATCTGGAGAGCCTGCGCAATAAATACTATAGGCGTAGACTGGAATAACCAGACGCTAGAGATCGCCATTCAATTGAGACTTCTGGCGTATTTCGCCGAACCTAAATCATTTAAAATTACAGTAAAAACAGAAACGATTGAATGTAAATCGGTTTATATACATTCATATTACATTATTATATGCGTTGCGATCAATTTGTGTCAATTTCTAGGTCCCAAATATTGGCGATTTAGATCCTTTAAACCAGTTAAATGTTGTAAAAAATATTGCATTGACTACAATACTAGTTGTAATACCTAGACCTATACGGTGTAATAAGCCATCAAATATTTTATTTGCTATGTCGGTTGGGCGGCTCAAATGGTCAAAGATGTGGACTGTACATACATCATAAGGTCTGTCGATTCCAGGTTTCCTCACACGGCCAATTCAAGTTACTATCTCGAGTGTTTGGATTTTAAAAAACTAATTGTATTATTATTTCAGGGGGAGAAAGATTGGGCGAAATACGAAGTAGCCAGAAAACTCCATAAAACTGTGGATAAAATTCGTGCTAATTATCATGAGGATTTTAAATCTAAGGAGATGAGAATTCGACAAAGATCTGTGGCCTTGTATTTTATTGATAAGGTTAGTGATGTTTAACGATCGTGAACAGGTGTGGGATAGGATCATCCTGAACTGGTGAACGGTCATCTAGTACCGGTGAACAGGTGGAGGTGGGGGGGGGGGAATAGAATCATCTTCAACTGGAGGTGGGGGGGGGGGGGAATAGAATCATCTTCAACTGGTGAACAGGGGTGGGATAGGATCAACTTCAACTGGTGAACAGGGGTGGGATAGGATCATCTTCAACTGGTGAACATCTACAATCTTTCTGACAGCCTGGAACTTATGCTACCTCTGTGTTAAAACAAATAACTATTCCGTATCCAATTTTAGCAGTTTTCATAGCAAATAACCCTTGTCCATCATTATCTACACAAGTCCTTAATACCCAAAATATTCTGGGTTTACCGATTGTATTGATTTCCTGGCTTTTTAATATTCAATAGGTGAGTTTCACCAAACAAAAAAAAGTGGACTTACATGGTGATACAAGTCAAAAAAAAAATATGACATTATGTCACAGTAAATTCAGCTGAGGTTTTGGGTGTATTATTACAGGATAAAGACAGTGAACTTAACTAAAATTAATGAAAATGGCGATGTCATACTCTGGGAGTTATATCAAACATGTATTCCCATAAACAATTCAGTTGACAACGTCAAGGGTTAATATTCTGATATATGAATTCATTATACATTGGAAATAATATCCTATTGATTTTTTGCCTACCATTTTTTGCCTACTGCCGGGGGACACGGTGGCTAAGTGTGTAAGACGCTGGCTAGCTAGCCGGAAGGTCGGGTGTTCGATCCCTGCATTGGCCGAGAAAGTGCATCCCGATTTTCCGATGTGCTTCCCCCATGTCATTGATGCAGGACGGAGGGCCTGGCAAGGACAGCAGCCTAGTCGTTTGGATGGAACAAAAAAACGAGGTCCCGTGTACACATTGGCGTGCACGTAAAAGATCCCTTGATCGTTGGAATTCGATATAAGAGAAGGCCGTAGTGCCACTTTCCTGGCAAAATTTCTCTCATAGCACACTGTAGAGCGTATGCCCGTCTTCATTAGCCCAGTTGGACTTTAAACCCCATTTCATTTAGGACTTCCTCAGAACAGGTCCACAATTATTTCACCTTTATTTTGATCCAGGCTTTTAAACCCCAAAATAAGTCGGTGTTCACAGACAAATCTAGTTTCCATTATAATCGTTATCTTGAACAATTTAATTTCTAATGATAAATATTTGTATTGTAGTTGGCATTGAGAGCAGGTAACGAGAAGGAAGAAGGAGAAACAGCCGACACTGTGGGTTGCTGCTCGCTACGGGTAGAACATATCAAACTTTACGAAGAGAAGGACGGAAAACCATATGTTGTAGAATTTGATTTCCTGGGTAAAGATTCCATTCGTTATACGAACGCTGTACCGGTGGAGAAAAGAGTTTTTAAGAACTTGGAATTATTTACTCAGAATAAACAACCATCTGATGATCTGTTTGATCGACTCAATGTAAGTTAAAATCCATGTATATTCAACTTTTTGTCTACATTTTCTATCAGGAGACACTAACTATGGGGTTGTGGGTTTTATCCCAGTGTTGGGAGTCATTTCTCCTTTTAAAGGTTAAAGTGTGTGGGATCTGCCAAGTTTTTAGTCCTTTGGATGACACAGAAAATACGAGAGGTTCCGTGAACGCATGGGCGTACATGTAAAGCAACCATTGACACTTGTAATTCAATAAACAGCAATCAGAAGCGCTACTGTTTACTATTGATGGCAAAATATATCGTTGAATTGATGTAAGGCGATTCACCCTATCATGAATATGATTCACGTTTTGAATCCTCAGACACTGAATCAATCTATTGCAATGCTTTTTTGCTGTCTAGTCCTTTGGATGATACAAAAAAAACGAGGTCCCGTGTATACATTGGAATGCACGTAAAAGATCCCTTGGCAGTTGGAATTCGATATAAGAGTAGGCGATAGTGCCGCTGCCCGGGCAAAATTTCCCTCATAGCACACTGTATGGCATATGCCCGTCTTCATTAGCCCAGTATAGGAGCAGAACAGTAGGATGTTAAACCCCATTTCATTTCATATTTTTTTGTTGCTTCTGTAAGTAACCTGTCACTGTTAATTATCCATGTCACACATTATCCATAGGTACACAAACACCCTTAAATTGTTTTGGTGCTTATTTTGATCCACATCAGTATCGTGATATAAAACAGTTTTATTTCTTCGACATCAACACGAGGACTAAAAATATCATTTATTCATTTATCCTGTTGTTTTCTTGGTATATATTGACCTGGTTATGAATTGTGATATAAATCATATTGTAGCACCTGAATCACAATACGTATCGTAACGTGA